CATTTCATGTATTCATGCACATATAAAAATCATGAAATCAAATAACAATTTAGGAGTCACTTCTTACCGTAGTAACTCCATCACTGGCTCATCGCAAGCCAATGTTCGTTCAATAATATAAGTACAATAAAAATTGCACTCACCTTAGCCTTGTTTGATTTGAATCAATTCTAATCCTTTGATTATTCCAGAACTTGTTTAGGCTCAATATCTACATAAATATAAAATTTCAAAACAACTATCAGAAGCCTAAACCTTAAACTTGATGTTAACAACTTAAGCCAGATTATTGAACCTAATTTCATTTTTCCTTTAGGGGGGAATCGATTCCCCCCCCCAGGGGAATCGATACCCCCTGGACATTCTGGAAAAATTTCGTCCAAGAGGGGGAATCGATTCCCTTCATAGGGTATCGGTTCCCTCTAACCAGAATTGGTATTTTAACCCCGAAATCATCAATTCTTCACTTAATTCTTCTATTTTAAACCCCTATCATGTCATTAAATTCAACTACCATCACTTAAACCAACTTATATCCATGAAAATCATCTATAACTTCAAAATCCTATCCTTCATATGAAATTCAAGAATCATACTCAAATTTCAATATGTTCTAAATACAATTCTAACACTTCATATTCCTTAATTAGGATGATGACAAGTCAAATTTAACTTTAAATTCAACTTATCAACTCTTTTCCATGATTTCATATAAAAACTCATTTTCTTTAATCTCTTATAACTTCTTCATCTTTTGATTATAAGACAACTTAAGCTTTCCTTAAGCTTAGTTATCATCTAATGATCAAAACCTAATCTTTAATTTAACAAATAACCAACAATTTAGAAAACCTTACCTTTGCCCTGCACGTTGGAGAAGAAGAAAAGAAAAGAAAGAGTTTTCAGAAACTCTTTCCCCTCACATTTATCTCTTAATAAAGAGATAAAAAAATATCTTTCATGCTAAATGACCATTTTTCCCTTTAATTCCTTTGATAATTACTAATAACTTTCAGGAAATATTTCCGAACAAATCATTGGACTGTACAAATATCCTACTTAAATCACCAAACTCTGAAATTTTACAATTTAGTCACTAACCCATATTTTGGGATGTTACATGGACCCTGATTGGGCTCTTTACTAAGTTATTTAGACTTATTAAACCCTAAAGAGAAAAAATGAAATAAATAAAAATAAAAAACATAAATAAATGTAAATGAAAATTATAATAAAAAAATAATATTATATATTTTCAGGAAATAAAGAAAAAAGTTTTCAAAATCATATAGTATATATAAATTTTCAAAATGTTTTTTAAAATATATTATATATATCATTTATATATTAAATAGAACCCCAGATAAAAATGATTGACTACAGCTACCCCTTTTTGCCCATTATCGTGTAACGAAAATAGGGAAAAGACAAAAAGGTATAAATTTTCGTTCGATGCATATGGGCTTAGAAATAAGCATGTTCCTATGAGGGTTGTTGACTTATGAGCTTGAGATCCAACTTAAGGTTGCTGTTGAATTCTTATCAACTACCATCCGCCGTGGAGTTGAGATTTGAAAAATGGAAGAGGACGACTCCCTGTTGTTGAACCATACTGTGGGTGACTCTTGAGTTGTATTTGAACATGATATCCTTCATTTTGAAGTTGAAATTGTAGTTCGGAATTTGAATCAGAATGTGGCTTCTTGTTGCCAAATCGTAGTCAACCTTGGTCTTCTTCTCGGTTTAAAGACCTCGGTTTAAAAATTCGACCGGAAAATAGCTCAAGGTCTTTAAATTGAACTCGAAAGTTTTCGTTGACAGATAACCCTTCTAGCCTTGAGCTATGCTGTAAATTCGAATGGGATATAGTTCCTTGTTGCTAAATCACAGCCAACCCATGTCTTCTTCTTGACTTAAAGACCTTGGTTTAAAATTCAACTGGAAAGTAGTTCCTTGTTGCTACCATGCAATTGATATGCCATCGAGCTGAATAGAATCGAACTCAAAAATTTTCATTGTCAGATAGCCATTCTTGCCTTGAGCTATGCTGTGAACGATTCCTCTAAGTGAATGATGGCTTCCCTTTGCGGGTCTAATCCGGTAATAATTCTTTAGATAACTCCCCTTCACAGTAAAGTCAAGTGGTACATTCTGTAGGTGATTCCCCTTCGCGGGTCTGAACCAGATGAGATGATCTTTGGATGGCTCCCATTCACAGGAAAGTCATGTGGTATATTCTTTAGGTGACCCCTCTTTGTAAGTGAGGTAGTTTGTCAGCCGAATATCATCCGTCATGAAGTTGAAACCTGGCTTGAAAACTTTAACTAGAAACTAGCCACTCGTCATTGAGTTAAGATAAACTGAATCCGCTCTGAATTGTCTCTCGAACCCGTCTGAATTGGCTCTCAAACCTAATTTGAAGTTGATTCTAAGATCTGTCGATCTTTCTATAGGTCAAGTTGGTTGAGGTGTATCTCCTCACCGCTAAGTTAAGCAACCACACATTGATTTTTTTAAGGTGTTTTTTAATCGAGTATCATTCGTCATGAGGTTAAAACTTGACTCTAAAGCTGCAAAAATTATGTACGCGGAAAATGATAAATGTGATGCTCTTAAGTATGTCTAAGATGTATGAAAAATGAATTAGTTCTTGTTTTATTTCTTGGATGGAGTCTTATTCTTTGTCTGCTAGTCTTGTTCTTGGAATCGATCATGCCCCAACACTGATGGCTTCATAGAAAATATATGTTATTTGCTCATTTGTTAGCTCAATCCAGTGATCTTGCACTCTTGATTGTATAGATCAATTTTAATCCAGAGATTCGTAAGTGTTCTTTTAGCCTTTATTTAATCGAGGTAGTAAGACTCTTTTGCATTTCGATTGATGATCAACTACCAGAACAAGTTGAATCATCACGTAGTTGACACATCAATCCCAGTGAAAGGCTTCCTTATGTGGCCTGGAAGCTCAAATGGAAACTTCTTCAGCCAAGGCTACCTCCTCCAATGTCCGTAAAATTATTCTGATTGTCCTAGAAAAAGACTGGCGAACGAGAAGGCACGTTACCTTGAAGTCAAGCAACCTCAGTGCTTCTTGTGAGCTTTCTGCTTATTGTATTCATAGAGTATTTTGAATTTATTGCATGGGAAACTTGGCAACAAATCCTATCTTTACTCTAAACGTTGTTGAGTTATAAGCCTCTCACTTTCTTCCTTTCACGCTCATTTGGGTTGTCATTATCATCAGGGCTTGCATTCCTATTGTATCTTTTTGATATGACATCTTCGAGTACAACAATAAACTTATGCTTCAGGAGGGACCCAATAGTGAACGAATTTATCATCATCACGGGCTAAACTCTTTCTAGCCAACTTATTGTTGTAGGTCTCTTGTACCTTACTGGACAATCATCTTAATAGTAAAGAGAGATAATGTTCTGGATGAAGCAACCATCTGTATTGCTCATACTCACTTTGAGATGATTGGTTAGAATGGTTATTTTTATCCTTTTGATCCAGTATCACGTCTGGCCATGGATTGTAACACTACCTTCTTCTTCGCAACATCAAGTTCTATTTTGATAGGAACCACGTCAGGAAATGGTGGAAAGAGAAGAGATTGGAAACCTGGAGATGCCCCACATCGTTTCGGGTCATTCAACCAATTTTTCGAGAAACTATGTCTTGTCTGAGATATATCTCATTTTTTTTAAAATGGTTTGGTATAAAAATGATGTTAAAACAATTAAAGCAAAGTATCAATTCACTGAATATTGAATAAATGAATCACATAAGTTGTTTTCAAAGGTTATAGCCCTTTGACTAGTATCAAGGTCCATGGGTGATATGGGAAGGCAATGCGATTTGGTTTTGAATTTCATGATTTTCAAATAGGGTGTAAACAAAATAGTACAATTGATGCATTCCACTGTAAGGCCCTTTAGAGAGCATTTCTATTTCAGTTCTCAGGAATCTTTTTTTTGATCAATTTTCGCAGACTCCTTAGGTAGAGATAGTGCCGAAATATCGATCTAAAAACAAACCTCTGAGTGCTTTGGTGTAGTCAACTATAACATACATTTCTTGACTCTCTTATTCCATCTTTCATCGAAATTTAATTTCAAATCCATGTTTATTTTAGGCCTTATCGCCTTTAAATTATACTTTGTTAAACTTGATGTACTCGCTTTAGATTTTCCTGGGAGATTCATCTCGACACATAGAGACTAGTGTCATGATCTGAATGTACTCGTATTCATAAAGTTAGGGAACTTAACATTACCCATTAATTTAGCAAAATACCTTTAGTTAAAGGATTCAAGTGTTAGAAAATCTTTGACTTGACAAACTCAAACGAAACTCACTTCATAAAGCTCGAACCATGGCCGCTTCAGAAATTACATCCGAAGATTAACAACCTATTACTTTCAGCGGAGTGCCCCCAGTATTGTTAAAATTATCACATTAATTCTTCGATTTCGAGATTTCCTAAGTTTCTTTAGAATAATATGTTATATTCTGAGTGTTAGTGAAAATCAGAAGAGCTCAATTTCTAAGCAATTGATCTAAGCCAAATTTTTTTATTCCACTATTCCATTTGTGAAAATTGTATATCGTTACGGAATGTCCTTAACAGACATGCAAACTAAACTGGTATTGCAATGTCATGCATCGGAGATGCCCCATCATGTCTACTTCCATACTTATATGAGTGAAATAGTATTTTCTTTTTCGGGTAAAAGATATGGACCTTGTGTTTTTTTAAAAGGAGTGTGATCTCGACATATGTCAAAAGGCTATAACCTCATTTCTCAAAATATGCATTTCATTATACTTGATATTCATTGAATTTCAAATAATTCTCTATTACTCAAAGAAATGTCATTTTTTTAAAAAAGGTTCAAGCATATAAAAGATAAATTCAAACAAGACATCATTTCATAGGTAACATAATTATGTGGTAATAGTGATGACCTTCTCTTATATCACCCCAAGATAACCTCGTTCCTCGAGTAACTTTTCAGATGCATCTTCAGTTGCACAAACATCTGCTTCAGGAGTGTCATTGCTTTTATCGTTTAACTCTAGCTTTTTTCTTTCCATCATTAGCTGGATCAAGGCTCTAAATTCGACACATTCTTGTACATCATGTCCATCCTCATTATGATAACATCAATGACTGCCACCTTTACAATCTGATATGTTAGGATGTAGGACAAGAAACCCCTCATTTATCATTTGCCTTCATACGCAAGCCAGAGGTGACTTCACTTTAGAAACTTTGGTTTTAACCTTCTTACCCTTTTCCTTGTTGATTGTATTTTCCCCATTCTTTTGGTGATTAGACAAAAGGTTATGTGCAACGTTGGGTAACTCTGAATTATTGAAATGAATCTAGTTCCTGTTGCACATTCTTTGGACAATCCTCTTAAAGGTGAGATAATTTTTAATAGCATGCCCCGAAACACCGTCATGGTATTCACAGTATGCATTTTTGTCATACCACTTGGGGTATGGGGATTTAGAGGTTTATCTGGATATGGTGACACCACATGTGTGTCAAAAAGCTGTTGATAAAGTCCTTATATGCCATGGGAATAGGAGTGAAATGCTCATTTCCTTTTTCTCCTCTTGGTTCCCTTGAATCTTTTCTAGAAGTACCTGATAGTACAACTGTAGTTGGTTTTGATTTAGAGATCTTAACACTTTTATCGGTGTTGAAAGCATTGATGTTGTTGATATCTCATTCTCTCTTCTTCATGGGAGTTTTCTACTCGACCTACCTCTTTTTGTCTTTCCTTACTTAATGGTTGTTTCTACCATTTTTGCTTTGACTTCCTCATCAAACTCCAGAATATGGTAATAATATGGATTATTTTGAGGACTAGTTACAACGGCTTGTGCTTTCGCAGTAGATGAATCCCCTTGACGTCCTGGTAAGATTCCTAGTGAAATAACCAATTGTGGAGTATGTGGTACAACCATCTCCTCAAATGCCCCTACCCTAGGAACATTCATTTGATTTAGGCCAGACAACCTTGTAACGATTTGATCAACCAAAGATTCTTGGCTTTTAGTGATTGATTCCAAAGTGCTTTGATTATTTTGACTTATTTTTTCTTCAAGCTCCCTTTGGAACCTCAACTTTTTCTCTTCAAGTTGAGTGATCTTAACTTCCATTTTCCTTTTCTTTGAACGGGTTTTGTGAGGGATGAGGTGTGTCCAGTGTTTGTTCCTTTTTATGAGACATCTTTTGTTAGTTAATGTGAATGTAATGAAAAGAAAAATAATGTGAAATATGCAAGAATACATGATGCATGAAGTTTCGAGGCACTGATCCAAAAATGTGGTTGTTATTATAAATAATCTTTATTGGGACAAAAGTGTTATTTCTAAGAGGTCAAAAACAACTCTAAGGTACATTTCGACTAAGTCCTCTAGACCCCGAATAACTTCTAACAGATTAACAAGTATTCTTCCTTTAGCTATTACTGGCTGAATACCATGTCGGACCACTCCAGCTTCTCTCGCCAAACCGTGCAGGTGATGTGCCGCTTTCTGAAATTGCTCTAAGAAGTTTCGAATAACCATATCTCTAGTTTACACCCTTTGTTGAGCTTACTCCCAATGAAAACACCATTGAAATCCTCAATCAAAGGGAACTATCTAAAGATCACTGGCCTGCTTCTTGAACTTGTCAATAATGGCCTCCAATCCAGCTATCGTTTTGCCATCATGTTCTTGTTGCCTTTGAAAGGATCTTTCCAACTCAGTGACCTTGGTCCTCAATCGTTTGTTCTGGTGTTGGCTTTCTAGCAAACGTCTCTGGGAAGTCTTTAACTGCTCTTTTAGTGTCTCTTTTTCATCTTGTTCTTTGAACTTCCTTTTTAGGTTGCTAGCTTCACCTTCCAGTATTCGGAAGATCTTTTCAGATTGGACTTGTTCTGAACAGTTCCACCCCCGTTGCCTTGATGTATCCCAAAGTTTTTTTGGGAAAATAACTAAATCGTAGATACCCAATGCAAAAAGATTAATCATCTTCATTAATTTCTTGATGTGGGTCCAACCAATTCCTTCTCCTTTCCCTTTGTATTGAATATGGTCAATTACCCACTTTTCATTTATCCCTGCAACCTTTGATTACCTATTCTTGAAAGGCCAACTTTTGTTGTACTTGGTGTAGACGCGATCCATTCTGATTCCTTCACAATGCTACAAAGTAGTATACTCTTCAATGGTGGGTACCATGTCCTCTTGGTTAAACGTGAAATAACTATACCTTGAATTCTAGAATTATACTAAGGCTCGAATTAGGGGCTCGTCTATCTTGACATGGAGTAGAAGTGCGATATCACCATATCACTGACTGAATTTCTGTTTCTGGTCACCTTTCTAGCTGTCCCAAATGCCTCGTAGTTCTTGAACATCATTCTATTTAAGGCTGACAGAAGCATAACCAACTAGTTCTGACACATAACTGTCTTACAAACTATCTCCCTTTTTCCTTCTGAGCCTTCTCTGACCATAGTCTAACCTCCGAGTTTTTCACCTCTTGCATTACAACCCCTTTGTCCATTAATGCAAATTATTTATGTTTAACGAACACGTTTTTGTGGATCAACACCTCTTCTGAATGATGTAAATGATAAAAAAATAAAAGAAAACAAAACAAAAATGAAAGGAAAAAAAGTTAGTGAGATAAAGATAATAATCAAAATAAAAATAAAAACTCCTACCCCACATGCTTATTATTCCTACCCGAACATGATGTCTATCCCGCATGTTAATTTTGTACAAGTCCTAACCATATAAACTTCTAGTTCACATGCTCTGAACAGAAAATAAAAAAGGAAATAACTCAAAACAGCCTAGGTTTTGAAATGAAGTTTTGGGTGAGCTCTAATTCTTTGTCTCCCGGTTTAGGTTCTAAAAAAAGTACCCGAGTTCTCCTTGTTGGTGCCCCCTTGGGCTTGCCAGACCTTAGTCCTAATGTGTGGACCAAGTTAAACTCAAGAGGACACATTCCTTTATGTCTATACGGAGAATAAATTCACACGAAGACAAAAGGTATATGAATCACGAATGTTACTTGCTAGGCCTATACGGAGAATAAATTCACACGCTTTCACCTCCACTTAAAGAAAGGTTTGGAGCTCGGGTATAGAGCCTGAGATGAAAATTTTAAAATCTAAAATCATTAAAAAACGTCAGTACAACTATTTATTTGAAGAAAAAAAATCAAAGATAAGTAATAAGGATCGAATAAATAAATTAAAATTTAACCTTATAAATTTCGCTTAAGAAGACAACCGAAAATTAACTTTAGCCTGAATCACTTACAAGTCCACAGCGGAGTTGTCAAGTTGTCGCAACCGTCTTTCGGGTGGGCTCGGAATTGGGCTTTGGCTTAAAATAAACACGTTTGAGTCCCCACCGATCTTTTTTTTTAAAAAGGTTGATCGAATACCTTAATTTACCCTCTTGCATGATCTGTGTTTTACCAGAAATATATCGAATTCGGGAGTCGGTTATAATACTCAAGGAAGGATTAGCACCATTGAACTACCCTTTTGGTACCATTTTAATTTATCAGTTGTCTTAATTACGAAAATTAAAATTAAAATTTATAGATTCGATCTAAATTACTTACCTCTGATAGGTGAAAAATGGCCATATTAAAAACATCAAAATTGAAGTTAACTAAAAAACAACATTAGGGTTAGTATAAAACAAATAAAAATTAAAGTAAATTAAATTAAATTAAATAAAAATTGAATAAAATAAATAGAAAAAATAATAAAATAAAATTCAAATCAAAAAGGGGTAAAATGTAAAGAATTCAAAATTAAGGATCAAATTGACATTATTTGAAGGCTGCAAGAAATAATATAGAGTTAGGAGAGGTTAATTTGTAAAATATAAGAATTTTAAACAGGGATTAAATTGAAACAATTCAAAATTTAAAGGTAAAATTACAACAGGTAACCAAAATAAATTACACTTTAAAAGTACAAGGAATGCGAAAATAATTTAAGAATCTCCTAATTACACTTTGGTCCCCTATAAATAGCCCCAAAAACCAAAAAATTATCATTTCCCCACTTTCCCCAAACATCATCTTCCTCACCTTCAACCAATCCTCTCAACTCCCTTCTCCGACCAAATGATCAGTCCAACCCCGACGAGGCCCTCGTTGTACCAACTGCCGTCGATCGTCGTTCCGACCACCACCGTCGGTGGCTAGAAAAACCAAACTCGTCCAAATAATTCCCCTCATCCCCGTAAGCTTAAATCTGAGGTCAAAACCCCAAAACCTACCCCTACCAGCGTAGTTCTAAGCGTAAAGTTTGAGCCTTTTACCTTTTCGACGGTGGTTCTTCGTTTTTTGAAGTCTTGACGATTCAGGTCCCTCGGATTTGAGTGTTGTCTTCGGTCTCTTAGTGTGTGGTTGCTTTATGGTTGTGATTGGTGATATTTTTTCTTCTCTCTTTGTTGTTGTTCGATGTTTTGTCTCGCATGGCATTTATAAGCCCCTATCGGGTCTGTTCTCGATTACTTTGGGGTTATTTACCCTTATTTCTTAATTTGTTTGGGGTTAAGGGTTGTTGCTTTACCGGCTAAATTTAGACGGGATTCACCAGCCATGTTGTTTTGTGACGGATTTTCGGTCGGAATCTTCGCCTGGTTGCTTAGTGTTCTCTTGCTGCTTTTGTGACCGTTGGATCAGGTGGCCTGATCCAACAATCTTCGTACTGCGACGCCCTTGCTGAACTTGCAACCCTAATGTTTCGGGTTTAGTTTCAGGCCGGGTTTAGTGACCTGTTGGGTCAGGCGGGTCTGGATCTGGACCATGATTGGGCTCCTTGTTAAGCTATTTGGACTTGTTGAACCCTAAAGGGAAAAAACAAAATGAATAAAAAAAATAAAAAAACCCTAAATAAATGTAAACGGAAATTATAAATATATATATAAATATATATTTAGGAAAGAAAGAAAAAAAGTTTTCAAAATCATATAGTATATATAAATTTTCAAAATGTTTTCTAAAATATATTACATATATATTATGTATATATTAAATAGAACCCCAGACAAAAATGAGT